ATCGTTCTTGTGAAGACCAATTAAAGAACGGGTGCTTTTATTTTATTTATTTATTTTTTTGAGTACTATAGATCCAAATCGGGAGATTTTATTTATTTATTATTTATTATTTTTTGCAACAAGCGGGAGATTTTATTAAGTACAGTATATGACAAGAATGGAAAATGGCAAAAGCTTAAGCATAGAAAGGGTAGAACATCAGCACACAAAAGAAGAAATTACTCCGTAAATAAAAAAGCGATTGAGGGCAATAGTGTGATGTATGTGATGAAATTAATTAAACCGGGGGTCCGAATTAATTAACCCGAATAAGAATACGGATAATAAATAAGTAATACGAACGTTATAGCAAAGGCCGTGAGACCGTATATTGTATTAAATGCCGTAGAATTAGCTATTACAGTAGTATTTCAGGACAAAGTATGTAAGAACAGTAGATCGTGTCTTAACGAGACAAGGTGGGGGGCTTTTATACAACCCCCACCCCTAACCGCCACCCCCTAAGGCGGGGGGTGGTTAGATCCGGGTTGACCGCGCCCGGTCTCGCGACCGGGCTGCACTGTGGGGCCAGGCCGAGGCCATCATGGGCTCGGGCCGAACCCATGTGGAGGTCGGCCCGGCCTCCTGGAGAGGCCGGTCCGGCCTCCCACGTGGCCCGTGCGGGGGCCACGTGGCGAGGCCTCGGCCGGGGCGGGCACGTGGCGCCGCCCCGGGACCCGTTCCTGCTTCGCGCCCTCGGGTCGGGTCGGGTCGATTCCTAATATATCCGTCATCAGTCCCCCACTCTCCAAGCTGCGAGTAATCGTCAGTGAAGGAGAGTAGATGCTCTGGCCGACCCCCCAAAACGCCGACCCCGAGATGTCCGCGTCCCCGTGTTATAGGCGCCGCCAAAAATGCTCCTCTTGTGATAATGATGAAAAACTCCATCCGGGACATGACTCCTTCATCTGCTAGGACACATACACGGTAGAGTCCTCTTAGGTTTTGATCATCTTCTCCAAGTCAACCCATCATATCCATCTTTTCACCTTTTCCCCCCTCTTTTTTGCATTTTGAATTTCAAACTCCCCCTCTTCCTATCTCCCCCTCTTCTATATAAACCCCCTCTCACCTCTCATTCTACACTTTCCACCACTCCAACATCACACTCCTCCCCTAAACTCCGGCGAGCTCCCCACCGGAATCCGGCAACACTCCGGGAAGGTCACCACGCCATACGAGGGTCCGTTGGACGCCCATCCTCCCGTCATGGAAGACCCCTTCGCGGTCCCGTACGAGGATCCTGTCCAGTACACCCCTCTGGAGACACTCTTCGCGGCCTCGACTTTGGCTTGGACCTCCGCGCAGGAGTTTGAGGAGGGCAAGGGCTATGTTGGGTCTACGGCCGAGGTGCGCCTGCCTTCTCCGTCGGGGAACGTCATCGAGCCTCCGACACCCCTCTTCTTTGGGGTTCACGTGCAGTCCTTGTACCTCGGTTTTCGCTTCCCTATTCATCCCTTCGTCAAATCCTTCCTTAACCATTACGGCATCGCACCCGAGCAGTTGGTTCCGAATGCCCATTACTTACTTCTTGCCTTCTTGCTTCGCTGCCACACCATTCGTGTCAAGCCCTACATGGATCTCTTCTAGAGTTTGTTTCAAGTCACCTCGTCTTCCGGCCAGGCCAGTAAGGGTTTCGTGGGTATAGCGGCCCGGGCGCGTATGAAGACGTTCCATGACTTCTATCAGACCAACAGAGATTGGAAACCGCACTTTGTCTTCATCTCGGTCGGCGATCCTCGCCCGTTCCTAGCTTGGAACAACAGGTTTGTGCGCCACAGGGCTCCGCTTCAGACAGCCTCCTTAGCCCGGGACATCCACTCTTTCCGGGGCAATCGGGGAGAGATTGTTATCGGTGAGATGATTACGGCGGAGAACATGCGTAGCCTGGGTTTTGTGTCGGACGGGCCGCTACCGCAACGTATTCGTCCGCGCCTTTTGCGTACGTCCAAGTCGGATGCGCGTCCCTTGATCGACTTGTCAGATGATGAGCCGCCAAAGCAGTCCTCGAGATCCTCGGACGAGGTTTTTGCCGAGCCCAGGTCCTCCGGGTCCGCTGTCGGCCCTTCGCGTACCTCTACTCGTGGTCTGTTCCCCCTCCTTCGCTGGACCATCGTTTATATATATGACTTATGGGTTAACCCCTGTTCGTTTCATTTTGCAGCGAGGCCTCCTAGCATGTCCTCGTTCCGTGAGCGCCTCGAGCGCGTGGTGGCGCGTGGCCCCGTTGCGAAGAGACAGAAGGTTACTGCGCAGCCTGGCGCGGCCCCGTCTGAGCCCGGTGCGCCCCCGCAGGGAGGGGTGCGGCCGCAGGTGAGTCGCCCCCCCGTACAGCCGGCCGTTCCGTCTCCGCTGCCGCCTGCCGAGCGCACGACGCGGAGCTTGCCCGCTATTATTCGAGAGGCCCTCCAGACCTTCGAGGTATGTATTCTTACTTGTGATTTCCTTTATTGCACTTACTCCTTGTTGTTGTCTTGTTATGATTGTGCCTCTTCCCAGGGTTGGGCCGTGTCCACCGTGGCCCTTATTGAGGACGAGCAGGGTCGCGCTCGCGAGCTGATTCGAGCCTTGGAGGCCGAGACCAGGCGGGCCGATGAGGCGGTCAGAAGTGATGCTGAGTCCCGGAAGGCCTTGGAGGCGGAGAGGAAGAGGCACGCAGAGGAGCTTGGACAGGTCATCCCTGGCTACCGGAAGTCTGATGAGTTCGAGCGGGATGCCGAGGAGTACGTTCGTGGGCGTAGTGGCGACATAGTCGCCTCGTGGCTAGCCAGTGACGCTGGGAAGGAGACAATTGCGGAGGAGAGTGCTATGGCCTTCCAGGTGGGCCGGTATGCTATGTAGCAGGAGATCTACACCGCCCTTCGTCAGAAGGGAGAAGTCTTTGACCCGGTGGTCCTCGAGTTGCCGGCCGAGATGGAGAACCCCGAGCCAGCAAACCCTGCGGCGGGCTTCTCACTATCACCCCTTGATTGCGCCGATGATCCTGTGGAGCTGGTGGCCTCCTCGGGGGTTATTTCACCCACTTTGCTGAGCGTTCACATCCCTGACTTGGATGAGGGGGCCGAGGGAGTGACCGTCGCCGTTGCGCCGTCGGCTGAGCTGCCACTTGCCACCACGCCGGGTTTGGATGAGCAGCCTTGATCGTGCTTGTTTTAGTTTATCCTCTTATTTTGTGTATCCGGGCATAGACTTTGGATGTGGATTCTTGCCCTCTTTTGCTGTTTATGTTGCTTGATGACTCATGCTATTTTATCTTGCTATGCTTCGAATGTTGGATCTTTATTATATGCTTGGGACTTATGTTTGATTATGTACACCCGTTGTCAAGACCACGTTTTTTTTTTTTTTTTTTTTTTTTTGTGAGTGCCCGACCAGTGTCGGGGTTCTCAACCCCAGATTGGGCCGAGGTACTAGGCCTCGGTGCTGGCCGAGGACCATGCTGCATGGTGCACCCCGGCGGTACAACCGAGGTGCATGCAACATGGTGCACCCCGGCAGCGTGCCGAGGTGCATGGCTTGAGGAGCCATGGACGCACCTCGGCTTCTAGCCGAGGCGGTGCCCTGCTGCGCCCCGGTGTTGCCGGGGTGTGATAGGCCTTTTTACTTTTTTTTTTTTTTTTTTTTTTTTTTTTTGGCCTAGTGTTAGCCTCCCAAAACATAGTCCTATGAAACTACGCCATCGGGCTCCCCGTCGGGGTTGGTACGCGAGGTCGAACCCCGTGCCCCCTTAGGGTGCGTCAGCCGCTCGGGCTAAGTCCTTCCGAACTACGCCACCGGGCTCTTCCGTCAGGCTTTGTACGCGACGTCGGACCTCGTGCCCCCTTAGGGTGCGCCTAACCGCTTGGGCCTAGTCCTGTCGGACCAAGCCACCGAGCTCCTCCGTCGGGGTTCGTATGCGAGGTTAGGCCTCGTGCCCCCTTAGGGTGCGCGTTAGCCGCTCGGGCCAAGTCCTTTCGGACTGTGCCCCCGGGCTCTTCCGTCGGGGTTAGTACGCGAGGTCAGCCCTCGTGCCCCCTTAGGGTGCATCCTCCGTCGGGGTTAGTACGCGAGGTCGGACCTCGTGCCCCCTTAGGGTCCGCAAGGGAAGACATGAGTGAGCACTCGTTCCCCTTTGTTTCATGATTTTTTTTTTTAAGGAGAAAGAATGGATGAGAACCAATTTTGTGATATTATTGCCGTTCACTAAGACATTATTGGGGGAGGGGAATGGTCTTCCTCCTAAAATAGCATTTCAAAGTCCACCTTTCATGCGGCGGGTCTATTGGTAGAACTTCAGCAGGTGTTCTGAGTTCCAGACCCTGGCTATAATCTCCCCTTTGGGGGTCTTGAGCTTGTAACTACCCGGGCGGACCACGGCTGCTACAATGTATGGGCCTTCCCAGTTGGCAGCAAATTTTCCTCCCGCCTGGGGCTGGCTTGCCTCCCTCATCCTGAGCACGTAGTCTCCCGCTTGTCATGGTAAGCTTTGGTTTGCCTTTGGTAATTCTCAGGTCGGATCGCAGCTGCTTCGCGCCTGTCATCGATCAGGAGGAGGTCAGTTCTATGGTTCTCTTCATTCGTGTCGGGGTCGTAGTCCTCCTCCCGGCGGGAAGGTATGACTACCTCTGCTGGGGCTCGAGCTTCGAACCCGTAGGCCAAGGAGAAAGGTGTCTCCCCCGTGGCCTTCCGGGGGGTGGTGCGGTAGGCCCACAGAATGACGTCGAGCTCCTCTACCCACGCCCCCCCTGCGGATTCCAATTTCTTTTTCAGGCCGCCCACTATGGTACGGTTGGCATTCTCCACCTGCCCATTTGCTTGGGGATAGCACACGGCCACCCGGCTGTAAGTAATGTGCCATTCTGCACAGAACCCCTTGAACTCTTGCCCCTCGAATTGGCGTCCGTTGTCGGTGATGAGTTGCATCAGGACCCCAAAACGGCACAAAATGTTTTTGTACACAAAGTGCTTGCAACAGGCGCTTGTTATGGTTGCAGTCGTTCCACCTCCACCCACTTGGTAAAGTAGTCCACTGCCACTATGAGGTACTTCCTTTTTCCCGACCCCATAGGCAGAGCTCCCACTAGGTCCACTCCCCACCTGGAGAAGGGGATGACCGAGCTGATGGGGGTGTAGCTCGTGGCAGGTCGGCCGGGGGTGACCTGGAAGTGTTGGCAGGTCTCGCAACTCCTAGCGTAGTCGGCGCACTCCTTGGCCATTTTGGGCCAAAAGTACCCCTGTAAGATGGCTCTCCGGGACATGGCGAAGGCCCCCTGGTGGGCGGAGCAGGTCCCCTCGTGGATTTCCTCTATGACCGCCCTGGCCTCATCTGGGTACAGGCAGCGCAGCAAGGCGCCGTTGTAGGACCTCTTGTAAAGTGTGTCCCCTATGATCACGTACGTAGGGGCTTGTCGTTTCGCCAGCTTGGCGTCGACCTCGTCGGGAGGTAGCGCACCTGTTTTCTTGTACTCCTTGAGATGGTCTAACCAGCAGGGAGGTCGGGCTTGCACAGGTAGGACCAGGTAGGCGTCCAGGCTCGACCTCTTGAAATCCTCAATCCGCGCTATTTTTGAGATATGTTCCGGGGCCCCTTGGGCGAGCTTAGATAACATGTCAGCGTCTGTGTTCTGGTCCCGAGGCACCTGTAGGACCTCGTAATTGATCACCTGCCCCAGTAGTTGGAGCACCACGTCCCGGTACCTCCTCATTCTTTCATCACTTGCCTCGAATTCACCTGTGACCTGTCCCACGACGAGCCTGGAGTCACACCGGATTTTGAGCTTTTCCACCCTCATATTTAGCGCGAGGCAGAGCGCCTCATACTCAGCTTCGTTGTTGGATAACTTGAACGCGAAGCGGAGGGCGTAGTAGGCCCGGAACCCCTCCGGGGTTATGAGTACGACTCCACCCCCGCAGCTTTTGGCGCTGGAGGACCCGTCCGTTGAGAGGGTCCACCACTCCTCGTCTTCATCCCGGACCCGCTCCGTGGCCTCCGGGGCGGTACACTCGACTATGAAGTCAGCCAGTGCATGCCCCTTGATTACGGGTCTGGGCTTGAATTGGATGTCGAACTGGCTCAGCCGCATGGCCCACCTGACCAACCTGCTGGCCGACCCCGAGGCCCTCAGCACGGCGTCTAGTGGCTGATTTGTGAGGACCTGTACGGGGTGGGCCTGGAAGTAGTGGTTCAGCTTTTTTGCTGTCGCATCTATCGCAAAGATGGCCTTCTCCACGGGTGTGTACCTGATCTCCGCCCCCCGTAGAGCTCGGTTCGTGTAGTATACGGGCCGCTGGACCCCCTCGTCGTCCCGGACCAGCACGGAGCTGACCGCGGCCTGCGAGATGCCCAGGTATAGGTATAGGACCTCCCCCTTAACGGGTTTGGCCAGGGGGGGAGTGACATCAGGTACGTCTAGAGGTCTTCGAATGCCTTCTGGCACTCTTCGGACCACTCGAAGCCCTTCGTCTTTTTGAGGACTCCAAAGAACGGCAACGATTTCTCGGCCGACCTCGAAAGGAAATGGCCCAGGGCTGCCAACCGCTCGTTGAGGCGCTGGACCTCCCGGAGGGACCTCGAGGTTCCATGTCCAGGATGGCCTTGACCTTGTCGGGGTTGGGCTCAATGCCCCTCTTCGAGATCATGTACCCCAAAAATTCCCCCCCGTGTACCCCGAAGGTACACTTCTTGGGGTTCAACCGTAAATTGAAGCGTTGCATAATCGAAAATACCTCGGTAAGGTCGTCCTTGTGGAGGTCGGCGTCGGTGCTCTTGACGATCATGTCATCGACGTAGGCCTGGAGGTTGCGGACGAGGACCTGCTTGAACACCTTGGCCACCATTCGGGTGTAGGTGGCGCCTGAATTTTTCAGTCCGAATGCCATGACCTTGTAGCAATAGACCCCCTCTGGCGTGGTGAAGGTTGTCTTCTCCTCGTCGGCCTCCTCCATGAAAATTTGGTGGTACCCCCTGAACGCATCTAGGAAGCTCATAAGGGCACCACCTGCAGTCTCGTCCACCAGCCGGTCAATGTTGGGGAGGGGGAAGGGGTCCATAGGGCAGGCCTTGTTCAGGTCGGTGTAGTCCACGCACATCCTCCAGATGGGTGGCTTTGGGGCGAGGACTACATTGGCTAACCACGTGGGGTATATGACCTCCCTGACATGGCCGATCTCTAGCAGGGTGTCGACCTCCTTTTTGACGAACTCCCTCCTCTCTCGGCGGAGAGGTACCTTTTGCGCTGCTGGACTAGCTTGACCGCGGGGTCGACAGCCAGCTTGTGCATGATCACGTCTCGGCTCAGGCCCTGCATATCCTCGGGGCCCCATGCGAAGACCTCCTTATAGCTCCTGATGGGGTCGATTATCCGTGCCCGGAGGTCGGCCGGGAGGCCGACCCCTACCTTCACGACCCGGTCGGTCGGCTGAGGTCGAGGATGACCTCCTCTGTCTCGACCACGGGCTCGGCCCGAGGTCGACCTGCCTCCTCCTGAAACGCCTTCTCAGCAATGGTATGGACCTGGAGGTCCTTCTGACCAATTTGGCGGCACTCCTTCAGGTAGCAGCTGCGGCTCACCTTTTGGTCTCCCCGGGCGACCCCAACCCCGGTTGGTGTCGGGAACTTGAGGCATAGGTGCTCCATAGAAATCACACATCTGAGGTCCTCCAAGGCAGGCCGACCGAGAATAATGTTGTGGGCGCAACTGATCTTAACGACTACGAACTCGACCTCCCACCTCCTAGTGTGCGGTGGGGTGCCTATCTCCACCTCCAAATTGATCGACCCCTCTGTTTCGATTGAGTCCCCCGTGAACCCGGACAGAGGGGTCCGTACCTGTTCCAGCTGTCCTCTTGAGAGTCCCAGCTGGGTGAACGTGTCGTAGTACATGACGTTTACCGAGCTACCCGTGTCTACGAGCACCTGGTGCACCACCACGTTGTTGATGTCCAGCTTGACCACCAGGGCGTCTCGGTGGGGAGGGGCCCATCTGGCAGGTCGGCGTCGGTGAACGTGATGGGCTCCCTCTTTGGTTTCTTCTCGTGGGGGGTACGTGTGACCTCCCCCACGTACAAACTCCTCGCCCACCTCTTCCGCTCGTCTGGCGAGTCCCTTCCCTCGGGCCCCCCAAAGATGACGTAGATGGTCCATTTCTTCGGGGGCTGGGAGTCTTCCGTCGTCTTCTCCTCCTCCTCGGAGCTGTGGTCGTGGTGGTCCCTCTTACGGGGAGCCGAGGTGGATGGCGTCTGGCCACCCCCCTTCCTCCATACGTTGCCTGGCTTCTGGCTCTGCACCTAGCCTTGCGCCTGGCCGGGCCTCTTAATGAATTGGCCGAGGTCACCCATTTGGATGAGTTCCTCGATTTGTCTCTTTAAGAGGATGCATTCGTCTGTATCGTGCCCTTTCTGCCGGTGGAACCTGCAGTACTTGTTGGGGTCCCCCCTCGCCGATATCTTCATGCACTCTTCCTTCGGGAACACCACGATTCCCTGGTCCTCCGCGTGCGCCAAGATGGTACCCATAGGTTGTGTCAGCGGGGTGAGATAGCGTGTGGGGTTCAGCCTGGGACCCTCAGCGTATTCACGTCGGTGTGGCCGCGGCGCCTTGCGCCTTCCTTCCTCCTGCTTCTTCTTCCTCTTCTCGGCAGCCTCGGCGTCAGCGTACCTTACTGCCTTGCCCATCAGGTAGGTATAGGTCCTGGGGGGGTACCTGATGAGGTCTTGGTGAAAGGCGCCTGACCTCAAGTTGTTTCGGAAAATCACTATGGCCGACTTCCCATCATAGTCGGCGACCCCCATGGCCTCTTTCTTCCACTTGCTGAGGTACTCGGCGAGTGATTCCGAGCTCCCCTGTTACAAATCACACAGGTCGGCAATTTGTTTCTTCCGCTGTATGCTGGTGGCGAAATGGGATAGGAACTGCCGGGTGAGGTCCGCGAAGGTGGAGATGGACCCCGCCGGTAGGGACCCGAACCTATCATGCGCCTGCCCATCCAGGGTGGCGAAGAACCCCCTGCATAGGATGGCATCTGTTGCCTCGGTGATCATCATGGCGGCTCTGTACCTGGTCAGGTGTGCCTGCGGGTCCGTGGTCCCCGAGTATGCTTTAATGGTGGGAAAGCGAAAATCTCGAGGTAGGGGCTCCGCCATGATGGTGTCTGCGAATGTGGAGGCCAACACGTCCTGGGGCTCCGGAGACCCGTCCCCCTCATCAATCTTCTTCTGGAGCTCGTCCATCCTCCTCTGCAGCTGCTCGACCTCTACCCGATGGGAGCTCGGAGCTCTACCTTTGGTTTCACCTGATCGTTCGACCCGGGAGGCCTGCTCACGTCGCGGGTGGAGTCGGGGGACCCGACCTGCTGACCTGCGCGAGGCTGCCTCGTGTCGCGGCTGGGCGCGGGGCTCATGGCTCGGCGACCTCCGAGTGACCGATCCCTGTCGCGGTGGCCGGCGAGAGCATGACTCCGCCGCCGGTGGCCCGTTGGCTGGCCTCGGACCCAACCTATCCCGGGCTGTCACGCGATCGCCCAACCTCTCCAGGGCGGGCCTGGTTTGGGTTGGTGCCCTTCCATCGTCGTCACGCTGGCGGTCTCGGTGGGAGTCTCCTCCTCCCCGCCTCTCCTATGGTCGAGGTGAGTTGACCTCCCCCTGGGTGACAGGTGCCTAGGGCGGTCGGGTGGTCGGGCCGCTGCGTCCCCGGGTGGGAGGAGGTGGAGGCGACGCCAGCGCCCCTCCGGTGGCGCCTAGGGCGGCTTGTTCCTCCGCCTGGAGGCCCGCCGCGACGCGCGCCAGCGCGGTGGAAGCTTGCTCGAAGACCGCCACCCCCTCCCGGATGAGCGCGCGCGCCGGAGCGGGGGCGACGGGGGGTGGTGGCGGCGCACCACTGCTGCGGTGGTTGGTGAGCTGGGCCCTCAGATCGTCTCCCGAGCTGGTGGAGGCGGCCGGTTGGGGCCCCGTTGGGGCCATTCCCATTCGCGACGAGCTGGGTGTCGCGGGAACTGTTGGTATGACAAGAGCCGGATCTCGATCTTACCATCGCTGTGGATGAACAATTGTGGGGAGAGCGCTTAAGCTTGTACAACAGCTCTCAACAAGAGCACCAATGATGGATTTAATTAACCCGGGGTGGACCCGAATCAATAAATCCGGATAAGAACGTAATATAATAAATAATAAACGAAATATAGAACGATGTCGTAAAGGTCGCTGGGGACCGTATATTATCTTAATTGCCGTAGTATTTGGCTATTACAAAGATCCGATAGAACAAAGTGTGTAATAAGTGTAGAATATGTAATGAATCGCCCTTTGTTAGGACAAGGAGGGGGATTTTTATACAAGCTAACCCCCCAACTGCCTCCCCCTAAATCGGGGGGTGGTTAGATCTCTACTTTGACCGTGCCCGTGTGGACCGAGTCGGGTCGGGTCCCGAGCTTGGGTAGGACCGAGCTCCCCGACCCGAGCCCCACGGAGGTTGGCTCGGGTCGGGGCACCTCCGTGGTGCCCCGGGTCCGCGTTGCTCTCGGGCACCTCCATAGTGCCCCGGGTCCGTATTGCTCTTGGGCACCTCCGTGGTGCCCCGGGTCCGCATTGCTCTCGGGCACCTCCATGGTGCCCCGGGTCCGTGTTGCTCTCGGACACCTCCAAGGCCCTCGGATCAGGTCGGGTCGATTCCTAATATATCCGTCAGTATGTCAAAATTTAAAATTTTATAAGACTGAGTGTTCACATATCATAGTCCAATACATAATTCATATATATTAAGAAAAATAGAGAGAACTTATATAAGAAATATTAGGTGACTAAGTGTTGAAAATGCAAATATAATGGAGGCTTGTGTGAACTGGAATGAAATAGAATATGGTTTTGAATAAAAGCACTAAGCCATTTCCAACAAACAACCAATCGATACCCACAATATAATTGATGAATGAATAATTCCTTCAATTCATTCCAGTAGCTGATATGATATGATAGGATAGGCCACCAGGCCACTAATTAAAAAATACTATACTAAAGAAGATTGAAGAAGAAGAATATACAACCAAAATGCTAACAGTATGACCCCCACAGTTGCTATCACCAACTTGTT